GTCCGCGCTAGTGGCCGCGAGACACGCGGGTCTTCGGGCGGGCGGGGCGAGCCAGAAAGCGCCCTGGTGCCCCGGCCCCCAACAGAGCCGCTGCGGGACCTCCCTGCCCTCGGTCGGCTCCCTCCTGCCTTCCCCAAACGGAGCCCGGGGGAGGGGAGCCCCGACGGGAGCGCGGCCTTCCCAAACGCCCCCTCCTGCGCCGGGAGGCCAGGTGGGCCCAGCTCCCAGGGTGCCCCTCTGCAGGCCGCCAAGGTCACCTCAGCACTTACTAATTTGATTAATAAAACTGTGCATCAAAAAGGCCATTACCTGCTAATCAGGGACGACAGGCCTGGCAGTCGGGGGGAGGAGAGCCCCAGCGCCTGCAGCCCCGCCCGTGGGCTCTGGGGCGCAGGCGGGGGTGGGGGGCACCCGGACATGAGGCCCCGGCGCAGCCCCCTGGCCACCAGGGCCTGGGCGCCCCAGACCTGCCCGCCAGGCCCTCCCACCCAGCCCGCACCGGGCCCTGGGCGCTATCGGCTCCCCGGAGGCCAGTGCTGGGCTCGGCGTCCAGGGCAGGGCAGGTTGGAGGGGCGCCCCCTCTCCAGGCTGCAACAGGCAGGGGCCAGGGCTGACCCTGTGCCCACCCTGGCCAGCAGCTCAGACCCAGAGCGCACTGGTCGGCTGACCTGTCTCGCGCGGCCCCACTCCCGGGCGCGCACAGGGTGCAGCAGGCGAGCGCCAGCGGGTGGCGGAGGCTGCGTGGGTGGGGGCCCCTGCCGGAGGGCTGCTCTCGCGGCCCCCCATCTTCTGAGCATCACCCTTGTCACGGTCGCAGGTGCAGGAGTGAGGCCCTGCGGGCTGCGGGGAGCCCGTGGCGGGGCGGGGGTGGGGCCCACGCCGCCGCGGGAGGCCACGGTCGCTGCAGTCCTTTTTGCTTTGCCAACAGAAAACCGCAGACCAGGGAAGCGGGGCTGTTTCGCTTGGGTCAGCAGCGAGGCAGCCGAGTGGAGCGAGGCGGCGGGCGCGGGTGGCGGCCCTTGGCCCCCCTCGCCGCTCCCAATCCGCTCTCCTCAGCGCACACCACCGCACCCCCACTGCCTCACCCGGCCCCTCCTGTCAACCGCTGTCTCCCCACCCCCGCTCCCACCCTCGGAGCACTGGACACAGCCTTGGGCTCGGAGCGCTGGGACCCCTGCCCCTGGGGAGGGCCGGTTGCCCCAAGGCCTGTGCCGCGGGTGGGCACTGACGGCAGGGGGCGGGTCTGGCAGCAGGGGGCGGGGTCTGGCGGCAGGGGCGGGTCTGGCGGC